AGCCTCACTGATCTTGTTCAATCTCAAGTGCATTATCAATGTCTCTTGTCGTATAGATGGTGCCTGCATAATGTGCCATTTGCTTTCTCAATAAAACTATCTCGCTGTCAACGTCTCTTAGCATCTAGAAAGTCTAGAGACATTTCCACATCAAAGGAATAATGCCTTAGCAGAAAGCGAAAACCTAGTATTGGAAAGGAAAACCTAGTATCAAAAGGAAGCTTGATATGGAAGAAACGGGTCGCGAATCAAAAACGAAAGTCGCAAAGTGCTGAGGAACTCCAAACATTGTACTGCGGAAACCCTGTACCCTGATATTTCAGCTTTTCCGCAGCGCTTTCACAGGATTTCCGCCGGGTCACCTGGGAAATCCTGCGAAAGCGTTGTGGAAGATCCGGTCGGTTGTCTGAATCCCTGAGTTGTGATATTCGATATACACCTACCGTAGGCATAACACAGAACCCATATAAAGCATAGGCACCCCATTCTCGTAATACGCACGTCAGATAATTCTTGCGCGGCAAGTTTTAGCGAATTTTGAGGCCAAGTTTACTTACCCTTGTATTAGGTTGTAACATAAGTCTTGTTACGCTTCAATTTCTTACAGTGATAAGTCGTATACTTCGTATTATGACTTCAGTGCACTATCCGAAAAGGCAAAGCACAAGCCCTACAAGATGGTGTGCAAAAGTTCGCACCAGTTTCGATCAACCGTAATTTTGCATCCAGAATCTGAGTCGCACAAACCTAGAATCTTCAACTTGCTCACACGAATTGCATACCAAATCAGACATTAATGTACCATTTTGTATTTCTCCTAATCTATCAGGTGGTCCCGTAATTTCCGTCCGTTTCAAATTCCAATCGCAGTGAGTCATGAACTTCCTGATTCTAGATAGGATTCAAGGTAAATTTGAAATAGCAAAGCAAGCTCTACAAAATGGCGCTCTTGCTTTCGCACCAAAGTCCTTCTCGAGTTTGGAGTCAAAATTTGAAAAGATCCAACCGCCCGAAAAATAACGAATTAATCGCAACTCCGTCCAAAAAATCCTAGAAACTTCCTAACTTGCATAATTTTTGAAAACTAGAGCCTGTTGAAAGCTGAAATTTCACGGTTATACCTCTCAGGGCTATACATGAGTGAGAACGGCGTAGCTCCGTTTTTGTATAAGCATAAAAATTTTCGTCTTCTCGATTTATAGATGAGGAAAAATGCAGAAGCGGTACATATCTGATGTGGTATACAACTTGTGTAGGCAGGTTGGGCCAGGGTCAAGCAAGGGGTTTGGCACGCGATCGCTGGTTACGACCCCCCCCCCCTCCTGATTGCTGTCTCAATAAGACACCCCCCCCCCCCAAATTATATACTTAAGATAGCATTACCTGAAGGCCCTGTCAAACATAATGGGAGACATATCCATAATGAACATGTCAGTTAACCCCTGTAGACAAAGTTTGAGCGAATTCTGAAGATTCAAGATATTAGGCTACCTAAGTGAAATGGTCACTTTCCAACATGATTGACTTTAAGGTGAATTATCTATCCGTTTTTGCACTCAAGAAAAAGCACTAGTCCTTCTTTGTTCAGCTCAGAAATCCCGCTTCAAAACACTTCCAAACTGTAGAATTAGAAGATAACCATCTCATTTTTTCTATTTTCCGCTTTTGATGGCTGTGCTTTCACCAACTGCTACTCAGAGCAAAGAAAAAGAGACTCAAATAACTCCTGTGAAAACTAGGAGATCTAGGCTATCGATCCATATAAATACGGTTTGCTAAAATTGTTTTTATGACGTAGTTAATGGGGTGTGGCACACCACAGCTTTTAAGGGGGTGTGCCACACCCCATTAACTATATCAAAAAAACATTTTTAGCGAAGGTATTTAGACGAGTCGATATCCCAAACCTCGTAGATTCCATAAGAATGTTTTAAGCCTGATTCGTCTTCTTAGCTCTGAGTAATATTTGGTGAAATCACAGCCATCAAAAGCGGAAAATGGGAAAAATGAGATTTTGTTTGGCTTCTATATTCCACAGTTTGAAGGCCTTTTACAACGGGATTTCTGAGGTGGCCAAAGAGGAGTAGTCTTTGTTTCGAATGCAAAAAAGGATAGCTAATTCACCTTTGAAACAAAGTTAACCATGTTGGAATATGACCATTTCACTTAGGTAGCCTAGTATCTTGAGTCTTTAGAATTCGCTCAAACTTTGTCTACAGAGGTTAATTGACATGCTAGTTATGGATATGGTACGAATGTCATGTTATCACTATTATCGGATTACTCAACTACGACCCCCCCCCCTTTTGACTCCTCAAATACGACCCCCCCCCCCCTCCCGGTGTGGCGTGCCACACCCCACGCTTGACCTTGGTTGGGACCCGTTGGTTTTTTTTGAACGAAGGTATGGGTTACTACTATTTTGAGCCTTCAGTACGACTCAGATTCTGGATACAAACTTACGATGAATCGAAGCTGGTGCGACCTTTTGTGCACCATTTTGTAGGGCTTGCTTTGCTCTATCGCAAGGAGCTTTATTAAGGATATGAAGTGCATGACTTATCGCCCTAAGAATTTGAAGTGTAACCAAAACTTATATTACAATTTAATAAACAGTCATTTTCAACCATGCTTAAATTCGAAGCTCGCTGTCTCTTTGCACTCAGAAGCACTACTCTTTTTATGTAGGTCGCACGCACTGGCCGTCAATGCAAACGTCAATAAAAGTTGTCTACAGTGCCCCAATTCCCAATCCAGATTAGCCCAAAATTAAAACGGTAGGCATACTTATCTCAAAGATTTGCGTGACTCTGCGGGTTGAGCCAGACTGCGGGTGCCCAATCTCTCGCGACTTGCACGGGTGTACACGCTGCATACTGGCAACCCTACGACTTGCTGTGGGAGATCTTTATGGACCCGTCTGCTCTCTCCTTAATCTGCCCTCGATAATACGAATATGCACGGCAAGCTGCTACTGCTGCGAGCGCAATATCAAGCCAAGGTTTCTTTTCCATCTACGTTTGGAAAAGGAGGAAGTCTGACGAAGATATTCAAGAATCAATTCCAGTATTTATGCTTCAAGCCTATCCAGCTTAGGAGAATTTCTAAAATCCAAGGCGAGAACGAAATCACGTTGTTCTAAAGTTCTTAATACAATATTGTCGCAGAGAATACTGCATACTTGTGAGTCAAATTTGACCTCATACGATCGGCTGGGCTGTAAACAAGCCATTTGCTATCTAAATGTCGCGCGGTTACGATAGGTCACGTATGACCATGCCAGTCATATAGCAACTTGACGGTTCAGGTAAGTGAGCATGCCTGTGAGGTCCTATGTATGTGTGGTCATCATTTCATGTGTATTTTTGTTAGTACCGGAAAATGAACCACCTCGTTCCTGTAACAATGTGCTCGTTTCCCTACAGTTGAAGCCAAACTTTAGTAAGTTGATAAATGGATGACATACTCCAATGAGTTAGAACAGAAGAGCTGGTTATAGTGCCATAAGAAACAATTAGTTTTTCTGCAGGGCACGGACAACCATTTAACTACCAAAGTTATGCTGGTCATTCATCATTTTGAAAATTATATCAGGTAAGACTCTCCAAGACATAACACCTGATTGACTGAAATTTTCTAGGCCAACTTGAGTCAGAGGGGACTGCTTTTCAAAAATCATGAAAGCTATTCTAGCACATGTTAGCACATGTCAGCCCTCGAGTATAATGAGATAAAAGAGCCATAGATGCCTGACGGGAGTACCGACTGCCTCTCTACTAACCTTTGTCGACGCAAGAAAGCCTTTGACAGCGTCAAACCAACGCCATCCTGTCTGTGCTAGTCGATCAAGGAGGTGGACCCAGCTACGCGAGGACATAGCCGACTGCTACAAGGACTGGACAACGATGATGCAGTTATCCCATCGCCCTCAGACCATCTCAAGTGGGAAGGGGGTTCGACAAGGCGACACTACGCCAAAGCTGTTCACCGCGGCCTTGCAGTGGGTGATGAAGTCACTGGAGTGGGACGAGAGAGGCATACGAGTCGATGGGAGATTCTTCTCTAACCTTCGTTTTGCGGACGACATCGTTCTCTTTTCGAGCAGTATCAGCGAAGCAGAGACGATTCTGAAGAAACCATACGAAGTGGGGAAGAAGATAGGACTGCGAACAAAGGGAACACTCACGGACCCAGTTCACGAAAAACGTTTTTGCGAAAATGCAAAAATGGAATTGGAAGGCGTCCCTACAATGGAACGTTCTTACATGTATCTCGGACGCTCGATAAACATGGAGAACGACGCGAGGGAAGAAATTAAAGGGAAAAGAAGAGCAGCCCTCGGGCTTTTGAAAGAAGCCACCGGTCCCGACGGACCCGGAGCTTCGTGCTTACCTGTTCGACACAACCGTTTTCTCGGCGCCCTATTACGCAGCTGAGACTTGGGCTGACACCGCAGCCACTTCGAAAGCTTTAAGGACTACATACAGAGCGCTTGAGCGCAGTTTTCTGGAGATGAGTCGACACAAGCAACATCTTGCCGGACTCCGCAGTACGGATTTGAGAAAAATTTCCCGTCTTTGTGAACAGCGGAATACGTTGCGAAAGCGAAAATCTATGGGCCGGTCACATCATGAGAAGAACAGATGACAGATGGACACTAAGAACATCGGATTGGTTTCCTCGCGAAGCAAAAGTCCCCGAGGAAAATCTCCAATGAGATGGGCGGACGTGTTCGCGGAACGGATGGACCAGCTGAAAAATCAGCTGAATACGACTTCGCTCCAGGAATTCGTGGAGCAGCCACCGACGACAACCGGATTTAATATCAGCGTTCTATACTCTTCAAGCAGAAAAGGACTCGTGTGAAAAGGCCACTTTGACTTAAAAAAACTTTCGTTGTTAGTGTAGACTGCTGCATCACTCGCACATGTGTTTTATCAGCTACGAAGTTTTGTTCGCTTAAAAATGAAACAAGAGGAAGTTTCTAGATGTTTGCTTACCTCTACTTGCGCCAGCACCAAGATGTAAGAAGCTTCGTCTTTCTTTTCTTCCATCTGCACAGCCATGACAGGCTCGTTCATGTTCTGAAATGCGGAATATGAAAATACAAGATCTATTTGAAACTATTGAAACTTCAGTCTCACTGTAAACAACTGCCTTTCGCAACACTTAACACTCAGTTATATATTAGGCTGGAAACTAAGTTTTGCAACTGGTTTCATAACTTCACTCTCTCTGGATATGGCGCATTCAATCTTTGGCATTATGTAGAAGGCAATGCGAGCTACAAGTGAGCATAAATTGTCTGAATTTTGAACGCGAAATAGAAAAGTTCTAGACGTTTTTCGAAAACTAGTGAAATTTGAGAATTTTGGGGGTTTTAAGTTTGAAGCCTTTGGCAGCCTAGACCATGCGCAGTAATCCGGATTCGTCTATAAATTATTGCTGGAGGTTGACTCCTTTGGCCCAGTAAGAAATAAACAAAATTAAGGGGCATGTCGAGATTTGGCGTCCTCATAAAGTCGAACGAGTCGATGTACGCAAGAGCTGCTGGAGACGACCGTCAATGTCTAAAGCCGAAGCTCAAATTTTGCCGAGACTTTGTGTAGTAAGGTTATTTGACCTGAAAAACGCGAATATCACATTCATTTGTTGAATCAATGCCTTTCTTCTTGTTTAGGGTGAGACCCCATATCGTACACCTACAGTAATCCTACAAAAAGCCCTTATCACACAATTTTACTATCGTTTTCGTGATTAGCATGTCCGATAACACCCTTATGCCACGTTTCAGCCAAATCCATCAAACTTTGAATTTTTCTCCTTCATACCATGCACCTACCGTAACCCTCACTGCGACGTCAGAATTTGGTAGGACAGCAGCTGCGCTTGTAGCTTACGTAATAACCAACGCAGTAGTAAAATTTGAGTGCGCCATGTTTAGTGAGAGGGAAGTTATGAGACCAGTTGCAAAACTTAGTTTCCAACCTAATAGATTATGAATACAAAGTCTCTGTTGTTTACAAGCGAACGGTGAGAGTTCCCAAGTAATTTAATCCACTTGAATAGTCTACAGTGATCTTTTTTCTGATAATCTTTGTTGTTATGCCATTACAAAGTACTGAATTTTTGATCTTTTTTTAAAACGGATTTATCAAAGTGAGCCGAGCAACGTCATTGCAATGCTGATATGGATGTATGCCTATAGTTGATGCGCAAAGTAGTGGGAAGTTTCCAACGCAAGGATAATGCACACGCCAAACAGGACGTAAAATGTTGGGTCGAAGTCATTTTTGCGATCCACTTCTTGATTGTGCTTTATTGAAGGCAAACAGATCCATATGGCTTAGAAAGTGAAACGTTGTTTTGCATATCAGCAGTTATCACGAGAGTAACTTCTCGTTAGGTTTGCCAAATCTGAAACAGATCATCCTCAAATTATAAATTTTTCCGACTTGATCCGGCATTAGAGAATTTAGCTCTTCGTTACATATCTGAGTTATAATTTTTGAATCAGCGCCATACGCGTCATGTTTCTGCAAATCGACGCTGTTCTATACATAAGTTGTTCTATACATACAGTACCCTTTTCTGCAGGCCAAACGCCTTTGGATCTGTGTCAATAGAGCGCGCTATTTCGAAGCGCTGGACCGTTCAATATATCATCCACAAGTTTCGTTTCTTAATCTACTGGGCGTTATTCCACTTGGTACTAACCTAATTAGAGAGAAAAAGTGAGCTTGCGCTAGCTTAGGTTACTTCTTCTTTCTAATTGACCTTGAAACAACATTGATAACATCAATGTGACATTGTTATTAAGCTTATCGTGCTGTTTTGTTAGTGGTACCAAATAAATTATGAATGCTCTATCAATATGGGCTTGAACGACATATTTTCACTCCAAATTTTCTTTCTGCTTGCGAGTCTTGGCAAGAGCAATATGCTGATTGCCATTGGTTTCTTGCGTTTACATAATCATAAAGTGTGACTTGCGATCACCCACACTTTTACCGATCCGCCTAGCATTGCTTTTACTTTATCGCATGCTTTCTTTTTCAACCCGTCGCACCTCCCGCTGTCAATTTATTAGGTTGGAAACTAAGTTTTGCAATTGGTCTCATAACTTCCCTCTCACTCAACATGGCGCACTCAAATTTTGTCACTGTGTTGGTTATTATGTATACTACAAGCGCAGCTGCTGTCCTATCAAATTCGGACGTCGCAGTGAGGGTTTACGGTAGGTGCATGGTATGAAGGGGAAAAATTCAAAGTTTGACGGATTTGGCTGAAACTTGGCATAAGGGGGTTGTCCGACATGCTAATCACGAAAACGGTAGTGAAATTACGTAATAAAGGCTTTTTCGTAGGATTACTGAGGGTGTACGTTATGGGGTCTCACCCTAAACAAGGAAGGAGGCATTGATTCAACAAATGAATGTGATATTCGCGTTTGGCAGGTCAAATAACCCCACTATGTAAAGTCTCGGCGGAAGAGCTTCGGACTCTTTAGTCATTGACGGTCGTCCCCAGCAGCTCTTGCGTACATCGACTCGTTCGAATTTATGAGGACGCCAGATCTCGACATGCCCCTGAATTTTGTTTCTTTCTTGCTAGGCTAAAGAAGTCAACCTCCAGCAATAATTTATAGACGAATCCGGATTACTGTGCATGGTCTAGGCTGCCAAAGGCTTCAATTTAGCTTTAAACCCCAAAAATTCACAAATTTCACTAGTTTTCGAAAAACGCCTGAAACTTTCCTATTTCGCGTTCAAAATTTAGACAATTTGTGCACACTTGTAGGTCACATTGCCTTCTACATAATGCGAAAGTTTGAGTGCGCCAATCCAAAGAAAGTGGAGTTACAAAACCAGTTGCAAAACTTAGTTTCCAGCCTAATATATTTGCCTTAGCAGCTTCTAAATTCAGTGTCGCATATGTCATAGACTCGTGGCACGAAGGAAGGACGACCGAAGTGACTTTTTAAAATGGGATATATTAGGTCGTTCCGAAAGCAATGTCGCTTTTTTCAAATAAACGCCACATTTCATGGAATCAAGATTTTAAGAGATCTTAGGAGCATTCGATGCAGCATTTCATTCTCTTTCTAAAGGTTTTTATTTCACTGCATAATCTTCAGTGAGCCCTCGAGAAGCTACCAAAACCTGCGACTCATGCTTTTTGCCATGGTCAAGTTCGGCTATTTTTCTAAATTTTTGTACCTATTCCCCGAAGAAGTGCAAGTGGCGGGTAGATAGAGCAAACCCTACAGGACACAAATTAATTTTTCCGTTTGCTTAGCTTGCTTCTTGAACTTTCTGGAACCAATTTTTCAATGTCATCAAATTCCATATTTAGTCAACTTAAACCTCACAGAACAACAACCGGCAAGCAGCTCGGGTGTCATTCGACGCAGCTTTTTCTCTTCTTTCTACCAATCATTTTTTGTTCCCGATTTATCAAACTTTCCGTGATAAAATCATCATAATTCAGGTTTTCCAGGGCGCCCGAGGCTGTATCCGGAATTTTCGAAAGTTGCTAATCTAAAGCGGTAAACGCTCATTTGCTTTGTAAAATTAGTGTCAAACCATAATCCATCTTTGTAAGTTTCAAAATCCGAGGATTTACTGGTGTTTGATGCATTTGTGTCTGAGACGATCCTGCTAAAACTCGGTGGTTTCATCAAAAAATCTGTACAAAAATTATGACGAGCTCTGAAAAGTAGAAAAAAGTTGTGCTGTTTCCTGTAGGGTTTGCTGTATCCATCAATTACTTGAGCTTCTTCGGACGGTTATTGTAAAAATTTAGAAAAATTGTGAAACTTGGCCTTCTCAAAAAGCATGGCTCGCAGATTTTGATAATTTTTCTAGAGGTTACTGGATTTTGTGCAGTGGTTATGTAACCGTTAGAAAGAGAATGAAATGCTGCATCATATGCTATCAGAATCTCTTACATATCTTTGTTCCACGAAGTGTGGTGTACGTTTGAAAGAAGCGAAATTACTTTCGGGACCTAATATATCTTTTTATGGGGCTCCATTCCAAATGTGCTTTTTACGGAACGCTTCTGGGCGGGGGTTATAAACGTTTTTGGGGCTGAATTTGGGCAGTAGTACCAAGTATGATCAAGAGTCACATACCATTGTGTGTCGGCTGTTGTAGTGATTAGCACGACGGTCTTGCAGGCAAATGGTCCCAGGTAAAATTCAGATTCCCAACCCATTATTTCCCTTTTGCAGTTTTGGAAAAGAAACTTGTACGAGTTTGGGTATCGTTCACACACATTACATCTCTTTTGAATTGCACTTCCCTTCAGAAGGATTGTTACACAATACCTCAACCATATACTGAAGGTAATTGTACAAAATTGTGTGCACATATAAAATGAGGGAAAAAATGTGCAGGACTTAGAGTACATTGGAAAGAGCGTAAATACGATGTGCACATATAAAATGAGGGAAAAATGTGCAGGACTTAGAGTACGTTGGAAAGAGCGTAAATACGATCTTCTACTTTTGTGCATGGAGATTTCATTTTTGTTGGGTTTCTTCCCCTTTTTCGAGAATCTCGGTAGACTTTCGAAAAGATCACTGAAAGTGTTTGGGATTGTAATGAAAGAAATGTGTTTGTGCTTGGACTATGGTCAAGGTTACATGAGTTTTTTGCTAAACTGCAATACGAAAAACAGAAGGGAAGTCAAGCCTTGAGCATATGGCTGGAGGACCATCGTGCTTACTACACCATCCCAACCGCAATGGTGTGGCGCTCTTCATAGTACTTGTGTGCCTCTGCCCGACTTCATCTGCGAATTTCCTTTATAGCTTCCCGCCACGGAAGGCAAGTCATCTATGACCTGTCCAGGCCCCACAGGACAATACACATCTCAACTTGAAAAAGCGATTCGACCAATTTCTCTTCCCTTGCGGTCACTCCCAACATCCGTCTCTTTGCCATTCTTTATGTGATTCATTCTTACATTTAGGGCCGCATGCACTAACATGACCGCGGGGAGGGGATCGCAGCTTCAAAAGAAAGCTTCGTGTTCTAAAGCTCCAGACATCTGGATTTCACGCTATCTACCTGTCCGTAAGTATTCCTAATATCCTTCACTATGAACATGTTGAACAGGAGCGAGAAGCTGTACGAACCGCATTTTCCAGTTTTTGTATGATCCCTAATGATCCCCGGCGCTTTTCTTTGAAATTTGTTTTTCTCCGAAGTTAACGAAAACTTTCCAAAGCTGTACTGAACATCTAACACAACAGTGCTAAGCATGTTGCTGATAAGAACAAATGAATTTTTGAAAAATCGAACTTTTCGGTAAACCCCAAATTTCGACCTGTGGATCATCGAAAATTTCATGACTTCAAAACATCATTTGTTCTAATCAGCAACATGCTTAGCACTGTTGGGTTAGATAATCTGCACAACTTTGGAAGTATTTCGTTAACTTTGGAAAAAGAAAAATGACTTTAAAAAGCGCCGGGCATCATCAGGGACCATACAAAAGCTGGAAAATGCGGTTTGTGCAGCTTCTCGCTTCAACATGTTCATAGTGGAGGAAGGTAGGAATGCTTGCGGATAGGTATACGGCGTAAAATCCAGGTATCTGGAGTTTCGAAATATGAAGCTTCTTTTTAAGCTGCCATCCTCTCCCCGCGGCCATGTTAGTGCATGCGACCCTTAGTAAGCATAAGCTCAGTAATCTTTATGGAATTTTTTGATGAGAAAAGGATTGAAAATAGTCTTCGCCGTTAGCTCGCCATATTTTGAGCTAAGATCATACGTGTTTTCTTGGTGCATGAACATGAACATGAACAACAGAGAGACATTTCTTGCGGCGTTATGTTTTTTTCTTGTTCAGTGATTTTTTTAATGAAAGTGATTGAACGCGAAACTATTGCGAGGCTTTCTTACCAGCGTGGTACAAGGCTCATGTATCACTTTCTCCCTGGTCTTTCTTGAAGCAGCAGAGAGAAAGTAGTGGCTATCAGAGACCGATAAGACCTCATTGGGACAACACCGTTTAAATTAGCGATGGGATAAAAGAGGAATTTGAATGCCACCAACTAAACGCAGTCTATTCTACAGATGTCCCAGAAATCGTGCTTACTGTTTGATTGTTAATAGCTCTCATGTCATGAAATCTTTTGGGAAGAGTAGAGTACCATTTTGTAGAGCTGGCTTCAGTCTAGATTTGCAGTATGGCGCGAATTACCGGTCTCCCTTCATTGCTATAATAATGCGAAATCTGAGAACTTTTGTAACAAAGGTTTTATGCATGCTGTTTTCAATACACAACCAGGGTGAAGCGGGGGGTGCGGCACGCCGCAGGGGGGGGGGGGGGTCGTTAGGGGAGGGGGTAGGTAGGGGGGGGGGTCGTATCGACCCAAGGTCAAAAACACTTGTACAAGCTGTGTGACTAAATTGACTTGATGAAAGCGCTGTTGAAATCCTGCAAAATTCAAGTTCAACGACACAAACTTGCAGATACCGTATGCCTACCGTAACCTACCGTACCTCTAATCAAGCATAATTGTCGTACTCCGCGTGTCGAATAACCCCTTTGCGCCAAGTTTCAGCGAACTCTGAGGTCTCCGAGCAGTAAACAACCTTGTATAAAGCAGTAATTTAAAACATGATTAACTTCATCTTAACGGTGAGTAAGCTACCTCTTCTTGCACTCAATACAAAGCACTACTCCTTCTTTGTCCACCTCAGGAATCCCGCTTCAGAAGACCTCCAAACTATTGAATTAGAAGCCAACCAAAATCTCGTTTTTCCCATTTTTCGCTTTTGATCGCTGTGCTTTCACCGAATATTACTCAGAGCTAAGAAGACGAATCAGGCTCGAAACATCCCTATGGAATCTACGAGGTTTAGGCTATTGATTCATATAAATATTGTCCGCTAAAAATGTTTTTTTGATATAGTTAATGGCCTGCGGCACCCCCCCCCCCCCGCCCCTCAAAACCTGCGGCTGCCGCAGATTTTGAGGGGGGGGGGGTGCCGCAGGCCATTAACTATATCAAAAAAACATTTTTAGCGGACAGTATTTATATGGATCGATAGCCTAGATCACCTAGTTTTCACAGGAGTGATTTGAGCCTGATTCGTCTTCTTAGCTCTGAGTAATATTTGGTGAAAGCACAGCGATCAAAAGCGAAAAATGGGAAAAACGAGATTTTGGTTGGCTTCTAATTCAATAGTTTGGAGGTCTTTTGAAGCGGGATTCCTGAGGTGGACAAAGAAGGAGTAGTGCTTTTTCTTGAGTGCAAAAACGGATAGCTAATTTACCTTTGAAACAAAGTTAACCATGTTGGAATTTGACCATTTCACTTAGGTAGCCTAGTATCTTGAATCTTCAGAATTTGCTCAAACTTTGTCTACAGGGGTTAATTGACATGGTCATTATGGATATGTTGCCCATTATGTTTGACAGGGCCTCCAAGTAATGCTATCTTAAGGGTATAGTCCAGGGGGGGTCTTATTAAGACAGCAACCAGGGGGGGTCGTAACCAGCGATCGTGTGCCACACCCCTTGCTTGACCCTGTACACAACTTTTCGCATGTTCGCAGAGCTTTCTGAATGGCCTAATCATGTTTTCGACGAATATCAGGAATCGTTACTTTACATATATTAGGTGGGTCACAAAGTTCGTTCGCCAGATTTTCAAAAAATCATAACTTCCTTCCTTCTTGGTGGAATTTATTGAATTTATTTTTGTTCAAAAGAGGAAACCTTTCTTTTTACAACAGTACCTTTGGCATGAAACAGCATGAGAAATTTTGAGAGTTACAAGCAGTTGAATGAAATCACTCAAGATCGGCACTTTTCAAGCAGGGTCACGAAAAATTCTGGAAGTATTTTTATTTGATAGAGTAAATTTTGCTCATTACAGTGGTGCCTTTTTCATGAATTAAAACGATGTAGATCAAGAGTTAGAAATGAATAAAGAGTTAGAAATAATGAATTTCTTCATTTTTGCAATTTTTGAGCATGCTCAAAAAAGCTTGAAAACGTCACAGAAAATGCGAAAAAGTCATAAACATAGGTTTTGTGACCTTCCCTTTCTAGCTGAGTGAAAATCGTATCAATCGGAAGCAATTTTAATTTTCATGAAAAACGCAGACCCGAAAATCCGAATAAATCGCGAAAATGAAAATTGCTCCCGATTGGCACGATTTTCGCTCAATTAGAAAGAAAAGGTCACAAAACCCATGTTTATGACTTTTTCGCATTTTCTGTGACGTTTTCAAGCTTTTTTGACATGCTCAAAAATTGCAAAAGTGAAGAAATTCTCTTTTTTTCATTTCTAACTCTCTATCTACATCGTTTTGATTCATGAAAAAGCACCACTGTAATGAGCAAAATTTACTCTATCAAATAAAAATACTTCCAGAATTTTTCGTGACCCTGCTTGAAAAGTGCCGATCTTGAGTGATTTCATTCAACTGCTTGTAACTCTCAAAATTTCTCATGCTGTTTCATGCCAAAGGTACTGTTGTAAAAAGAAAGGTTTCCTCTTTTGAAAAGGAAATTCAAGAAATTCCACCAAGAAGGAAGGAAGTTATGATTTTTTGAAAATCTGGCGAACGAACTTTGTGACCCACCTAATATTTGGCTTGAGTTTTGAAAAACCCTTACGATGCAGCGCGAATTTCATATTTGAAACCAGCGATCCTTATTAACCTAGTATGAGAGTTTTTAGCTTCTTTGAGTCTCTTTCAGAGGTATAATATGACTCTCAATGACACAAGAACCTCTTCAGTGCTTACCGTAGTCTTGCAGTGATGGAGGAGGGACGGTAAGTCGCTTCATACCATAAAAATCTAATCTATAGCTAGCTCTACAAAATGGTACCTAAAGCTTCTCCCAAAACTTACTGAGAAGAGATTTATTAACAGTCAAGCAGTGGGCACATTTTTTTCTGGGACATCCTGTATATAAAAATGCAATGAAATACTCACTATTTTTTTGCCGGTGTCTTGCTCGATTTTTGCTGGTATGCGAGAGTCGAGGTTTCTGGCGAATCCATCCCATCTATTTGTCTCAAACCAGCATTCTGGTTCTTCATCAGAACCAATTGTGAAATGCACCGAAAGGAGTACTAGCAAAATCATAAAGGGCATATGTGGCACATTTGACGTAAAACAGTGCGCAGATATCAGCCCTTTCATATAAGCAAGATATTGATTTTTAAATTGATTCTCTTTTGTCTTTCATACCTATACATAAATATTCTGCATTCGCTTGTAATTGACAGCATCGCGTATGGCTACACAACCATTAAACCAGTAATGCATCATAATGGCTTGAGCAATATACCCTCTACAAATTTCTTATCTATCTTGCACTACTGAAACTCAAGTGTTATAATGATTGAAATATATTTTAAGATTATAAACAGGCAGCTCGAAGGTAATGTTCCATGGAAGGAGCAACTGCTATTTGACTCTCTATCTGTCGAGAAGTTCGATTCCATTATGATGCTAACTAATACGGCACTCAGATGATCAACCGGTTCCGATAGCAGAGCTGAACTTGCTCCTCTATCCCCAAACGGTGCCAACTGGCATCTAGCGTAAAGTGCCTGTGTTTCTACATAGAATCCCTGTGTTTACTGCTATCGGCGCTAGGACCTGGTTTATAACTAATTCTGAAACGGTTCAAAATCAGGACCGCAACATGAACAACAGTGATGATAGGAAGAGAAGTGTGCGGCACTAAAGATCTATTTGAATGTAGTATGGTCAAAATCTGAGCGGCGAGGCCCGTTTCCACCTTCTTCTTACAAGGGAAGGATGATCGGTCGAAGTGGCCATTTGGAATGAGCTTTATATTAGGAAACCGTTCTCGGTAAGACAAAGTCAAAACTACTTTCGCTAGGTGCCGAGCGGTTTTGTGGGGTGGGTTACAAGGCCATTTTTCTCCTGCGCAGCCGACACTCCCAGTGATGAGCGAGGCGCTAGAACTTGCATCAGTGTGGAGGTGGCGCAGTGGCAAGACAGCGGACTACGAGGCTGATGGTGGAGGGATCGAGTCCTGTGGCTGCTACTTTGTTTTGCAGTTCTGTAAAACGTCTATTGGGTGACAGTAAACGAAAAATACTCATTTCTAGGTAGTTAAAACAAGCTATTTACTGCAAAAAATTCACGATTTCTACAATAAGCTATAATCTTCTACAATATGTAAATTCTGTGGGGGTTATGATCTCACAACAAGGGATTCAAATGATATATTATCATGTATAGAATACAACCACAAAATGCTCAAAGCAGAAGAGCTTTTCGAAAATTGCAATCGATTCACATCCCATGTATTGGTTCTCGATCTGAACTTTACCTTGCCTCATAGGGATTCCATCTTTAAAATTACACATTTTGCTCGCTGCGATTCAAAAATTTCCTTTCCTACCCATGGCATGCAGCCGGATACATTGATAACCACCCCAGCGAATTCGAGTCTCCTATTCAGTACTGTTTTTCACCGGCTTTGATAGGCAATTGTGAAGCTGTTGAGTGTCATCATTTATATTTTATCCGATGTGCGCTGCGAGAAGCTCTTCTGCTTTGAGCATTTTGTGGTTGTATTCCATACATGTTAAATATCATTTTAATCCCTTGTTGTGACATCATAACCTCCACAGATTTACATATTGTAGAAGATTATAGCTTATTGTAGAAATCGTGACTTTTTTGCAGTAAATAGCTTGTTTTAACTACCTAGAAATGAGTATTTTTCGTTTACTGTCACCCAATAGACTTTTTTACAGAACTGCAAAACAAAATAGCAGCAACAGAACTCGATCCCCCGACCATCAGCCTCGTAGTCCGCTGTCTTGCCACTGCGCCACCGCCACACTGATGCGTTGTTCTAGCGCCTCGCTCATCACTGAGTGCGCCGGAGGAAAATGGCCTTGTAACCCACCCCACAAAACCGCTCGGCACCACCTAGCGAAAGTGATTTTGAGTTTGCCTTACCGAGGACGGTTTCCTAATATGCAGCTCATTCCAAATGGCCACTTCGACAGATCATCCTTCCTTGTTAGTTTCCATTTTCTTCTTAGCAACTTCAGCCTTATCGCCTTTCCGGTAGAGTCTTCTCTTAAAAGTTGGAACTGGTCCAAATTGGTTCGGGTCGTTAAGGCTGCGTTCATACTGATTCCCATGTTCTGGAACTGTTCCCGCACAGTTCTCGCACTGTGCTGAAACTGTGCGGGAACTGTGCGGAAACTGTGCGGGAACAGTTCCAGAACTGTGCTGCATGCGCTGCAGCCGCCCCGCACCGTTTTGAACGGCGGGAGTTGGAGAATTTTGACCGTTCTCAACGGTTTTTCTTCCAGATTTCGCTCATTTTGGCCTTAATCCTCCACCCCGCTTCCCTTTTTGATCAGCAGCACTGCGAACTCGAAGCGGGGTTGAAGAATGAGCGCTTTTCTGCGCCGTGTATTCGGAAAGATGGGCTATCGTGCGATTGTTCATTCTGTCTTCTTGTTTTTTGCTCAAAACTACTTCATTTGTTCCAGGAAGCGGCTGCCCAGTTTCCATAGCCATCTGCCACAAATTAGGGAGTAGGAGAAATCCTGAAATGCATGAGTTGGGACTTGTCGTCTCCTGTTTTTCATGATTTTGGGCATTCTTAGCCTTGTTCGTTTTTCCATGTCGTTGCTTCTCCGTTCTTTCTTCTACCCCGCTTCTCCTAGTGATGAGAAAAACTGTGAATTTGAAGCGGGGTTGAGGATTGAACGCTGTTCTGCTCGATGTATCCGGGAATATGGGCCTTCGTGCGCTCGTCCATTCTCTCATCGCTATTTTTGTTCAGACCTATTCATGTGTACTAACAAGTCGCTGCGTAGTCTCGCATCGTATTAAAATTGAAATAGGCAAGTCTCTAGAACACATGAAGTAGGTCTGAACAAAAATAGCGATGAGAGAATGGACGAGCGCACGAAGGCCCATATTCCCGGATACATCGAGCAGAACAGCGTTCAATCCTCAACCCCGCTTCAAATTCACAGTTTTTCTCATCACTAGGAGAAGCGGGGTAGAAGAAAGAACGGAGAAGCAACGGCATGGAAAAACGAACAAGGCTAAGAACGCCCAAAATCATGAAAAACAAGAGAAAAGTCCCAACTCATGCAATTTCAGGATTTCTCTTACTCCCTAATTTGTGGCAGATGGCTATGGAAACTGGGCAGCCGCTTCCTGGAACAAATGAAGTAGTTTTGAGCAAAAAACAAGAAGACAGAATGAACAATCGCACGATAGCCCATCTTTCCGAATACACGGCGCAGAAAAGCGCTCATTCTTCAACCCCGCTTCGAGTTAGCAGTGCTGCTGATCAAAAAGGGAAGCGGGGTGGAGGATTAAGGCCAAAATGAGCGAAATCTGGAAGAAAAACCGTTGAGAACGGTCAAAATTCTCCAACTCCCGCCGTTCAAAACGGTGCGGGGCGGCTGCAGCGCATGCAGCACAGTTCTGGAACTGTTCCCGCACAGTTCCCGCACAGTTTCAGCACAGTGCGAGAACTGTGCGGGAACAGTTCCAGAACATGGGAATCAGTATGAACGCAGCCTAAAAAAAGCTGAAGACATAATCACACGACAAATATGATTGAATGCGGACAAGAAAAGGTATCTGAATATTGTAGGTACGGTACTATTAGTATATGTATATAAATAATTTTTGAAATAAAACTGCGGCGATAGCGCGACTTCGCTGAAACAGAGAGTCCGTTGTTTTCACGCGGTTTATAAGCAATACTCTAGCGCTCCCAAAGTCGTAAATCCACTCTAAAGGATATTCGCCGACGACTGCCCCAACTAGTGTAATACACCACCGTGGGCGTGCTTTTTCAGAGCCTTTCCAGCTGGACAGTAGGACAGGACAAGGAAAGGACGGAATGCTGCGAACTACCAGTCCCTGCGCGCTGCAGCGTACTGTCAAGCTAGAAAGGCCCCAGTAATGTCCAAGAGTGTAATTGCACGAGTCGGGGCAGCCGTCGACAAATATCCTTTAATCACCATATTTTGCATTATTGTCAGAAAAATTACCTATAACTTTGCTGTTTTATGTATATGCCAACACAGTACTCCCAGCGCCTTTCTTCTATTGATTTTGGCCGGAAAATGCAAAAATTTTAAAGGTTTGCACTGAAGGCATATGTACTGCAAAAATTGACTTTCCTCTATTACCTTTTCGAGACGATTCGAGATCTGATATACGGTCTGCTTTCCATTTGCTGCGTTTTTACTGTGTAGAATTAAAAGACCTCACTGAGTAAATACAAAATGAGCATGGGTTGGCGAGCTGTCATGGCATTCGTTCCGTTTCATTCGGATTAGACGCGTCCGCTCAAATACTTCTTGTCTTTATATAATACCCGGCTCCGCCCGGCCTTGTAGAAAATGATAAAGATTCCAATCCTATCTCTGTACAACCTTTCCCTGTGCCCACCTCTACATGCAATTCCCTATCGCTGTGTTAATAATCAGTATGCTCACCTACCTTCCTCACTAACTTCCAGCTCCGCTCAAACTTTGCAAAAAATCAATAAAATCGATAAAAGTAAAGGTAATTCTAAAAACTGATGGCGCTATTCGGCTATCAGGGCCCCAAAATGTTTTTGTAACGAATCTTGCTCGAACTCGGTAATGGGGGTTATTTGAGCCGCTGATGACAAATATCGTAGTTATTTCGCGTGACAGCGGGTAAAAGTCATGAACCTGCCTGAAACCTTGGCAGGGAATTCTAAAGTGCTGTTTCAGAAATATCGTGCTCAATCCCACGATAAAGGCAATTCGTGTGATATAAAAGTTTCCCACGACCGTAATGCTTTCTTATAGAACCACTGCCGCGCGCGATACACCCTTCGGCGGCTTTTGCCTAAGCAAAAACAGGGAAAGGGAGACTTGCCGCGTGCGTTACGCGTTGGAGGCTATCAGGATGGCGCTGGAGACCGCCGTGCAAAACGACCGTTTCCCCATTTCGTGATTATCTGGCATCTAAAATGGCCTAAACGCGAGAAAATGTCCATTCAAACCCTGCAACTCACAACAACTTCACAATAATGCGTTATGACAGCGAGCAAGCATCATACTCATAAGCAATATGTTTGTGAACCGTTACAGGTAAGGTTTCAAGCAAATCTGGAACTTCGACCATCTACTGCACACCCACCTAACACAAGAAAATGCGCTATCCTGCGAAATCAGCATG